AGAAGTAATAGACCATGAGGAAATGCTCATGCAACCCCTTCTTGCAGTGCTTCTGAAGGAACGAAGATGAACAAGGGAAGAAAGTAAAGATATGAGGATATGTAAAAGGGTTTCAAAGAATACTTGAACGAATGCAAGTTTACTTGCAACTAAAAGTAACTTATTTCTCAGACGCGAATTTTATTCACAAATTTGTGTGTATAAAGGAGAAATTTACTTCACATATAAAAATTTTTGTGTGTGTATCAAAAATATTTACATAAGACAAAGATCGCACTTATTTCTGTACTTATTATTTTGCAGGATAAACAATGCTAATTCATATCACCAGAAGATCTGAAGATGAACAAACAAAATTTCGTAAAGTATTTATTCAGGAACTATAACACATGATCAAATTCTTTTTTTCATTACAACTTCCCGAATTCACAATTACTAGTGAGTATTCTTCGTGATTAACACAGCAATTAATAGCTTCTGTTGTATTCACATTTTCATTTTTGGAGAAGCATTAAGATGAACAGTAAAATTTGTTTACCCTAAAGCTTCTCTAAAAATCCAAAAAAAAAAATGAATCAAAAATTTTTTTTGATCACTACTGTGTTGGAGACCATTATAAAAATTAAATTACGCGCACAGTAGAATGGCGTTAGCAAAAACCTCACTTTTTTATTTGAACATTTGAAAGGTTTTACAAAAATGTATAAAAATTTAAGCCTTTTCAATAGCTAAAGTCTCAATTGATATCCTGCCACGCTGTTTCTATGAATTATCAGCAAGAACAGAACTAAATTTTTATGTCAGTCCAAATTCGAGCTGCAACCAGTCTCCAAATTTTGAATTTTGGTACCCAACAAAAATTGAAAAAATCTTATCCTGAGAAAATTCATTTCGATCACTCAGGTAAAAGTTTTCTGTCTTTCTTTTGCCTTTCCATCCACTGCACAAAATAACAACGTATGAAAGTAGAGAATCAACGATGAACTCTACTCCAAAAATTGGACAGTGAACAGATATTTCGTTTGCATAAGATAACGGAAATTCTGCTTCCATAATGGAAGTAGTTACCATGGTCTAAGATTGGTCTTATCGCTCAGATGAGATGCATCATTACTAAGCTCCATTTTATAACCTCTTGGTTTCTTAACAAACTTCGAGACAGTTGCCTGACCAACATATTTCCATGAGCCACTTAGCATTTCATGAATAGCACCGATTGGAGCTCCATGAGAGACAAGCAACACTTCAGAATCTACAAATGATTTCCTGACTTATACACGATGCTTTAACATGCAAATTAAAAAACTAAATACTTCCTATTTGGGCTTTAGATGAGCCAAATTTGCATGGATTGGACCATACTAAATTGATTTTTAAGACAACTGACTTCTGACATAAACTACTTGAATAAAGTTTTTCAATCGCTTCTAATGTTGACCGTACGCGAAATGTACATGCTTCATCACCATAATCTTCTTTTGGAAGCTTCCAGGGCATAATTGACCGGTAAGACGCATCAATAAGAGGATATTTTTGCTTCAGAATATGTAGATCTTCATAACCAGGAGGATCCTCACACATATATAATCCCTGCACTTATAACCCAAATTAGTAATTTGAAGAATTCAGAAAAATTAATGTGATGAAAACATGGAACTATCATTTCTCAATACTTAACAAGTGTACTTCTGTATTAATTTATATAATGCTAAAGAATCCAAAAAAAAAAACCACACCTCACATAGACCTGGTTCGACTTTTATTGATGCATTTTTATGACCTCGTAAAAGTCGTGTAGCCGTTTCAAGAGTACGATCAAAGGGAGAAACAAAAATATGATCCAAATGTATCTTATCAAAACGTGCACCAAGTTCATCAGCTTGCTCTTCAAATCATTATATGTATCGTGAAATGATAAAATAACACTTCGCAATAGATTATTCTGATCAATTTACGGATTAAAATTATCTTAACCCTTCGATTCAATCCCTAATTCGTCGATAACAAGAGTAACTTAAATATTTTAATGACTAGTTCATGAAATTTTAATTATAGTCACTGAAGTTTTTATACCAATGTTCACGCAGAATACGATAGAAGAGCAATACGATTACTTGTTTTACAGTTAACCAAAAGAATTCAGTTTCTGTAATTTTATTTTCCTCAAGCATCACTATATTCTAAAATCAGTAGTTCTTAAACTTGATCTATAACTATAATCTGTAAACTAACTACAAAAAAATCAACAAACTTTGTCCTCTCTTTGACAATGGTGCATTGTCACTTTTTAAATCAGAATTCTTGTGCCATGCAGAATTGATATTGTCTTCACGTTCCGCATGTCGTACCACCCAAAATGTTATCGCATCCATACCTTTATTTATCCTCTGGAAGTTGTTTAAAGCACATTGGCTTGTTTCAGCAATAATTAATTTGATAGCAAAGCAAAAGTAGATTCCACATTGCGGTAACATGAGAATGACAAAATATCAAGCGATGTCATAATGAGTCACACAGAAATAATTTCAAAACATTGACATATTTTATCGTGAAATTCTGTCCAATTACATATGTGATTTTTAATATACTGTAAAAAAGTTATTCTTATTTTTTTACACAAAAATACTCTCCAAATATCAGAAATAACTAAATAATTCCTACATAACGATGAACCCTAATTTAGCAATATCAAGTAAAATAGCGAAATTCTGAATTACTTAAAATTCTCTGAATTATGTTGGATTTCACGGACCGTGATAAAGTAGTTAAAAACTGTCACTGAAATGATTATGATAATTGAATAATGGGAGTTATATTCGTTTAAGCAAAGATTAGTGTTGTAACAGGAGTGCGGAAGGTGTTGATATGAAGTAGTTTTCTATAAAATCTATCACAAGAAACAATTAGATTGTGTTGTTTTGAGTGGTACTCAAAACAACACAATCTAATTGTTGTAATTTTTCTTCCATC